AAAGGTTTGTGGGTTCATTTCTGGGCTCTCTATTCTGTTCCATTGGTCTATAGGTCTGTTTTGGTACCAATACCATGCTGTCTTGATGACTGTAGCTCTATAGTATTGTCTGAAGACTGGGAGAGTTATTCCTCCAGTCTCTTTCTTTCTCTTCAGTAATGCTTTAGCAATTCTAGGTCTTTGATGGTTCCATATAAATTTTATTATGATTTGTTCTAGTTCTGTGAAATATGTCCTGGGTAATTGGATAGGGACTGCATTAAATCTGTAGATTGCCTTGGGCAGTGTGACCATTTTAACAATATTGATTCTTCCATTTTTTCATTTATTTTTATGTAACACTGAGATGAGGTTTTTGCACTGAAGACTGGTTTTATTGAAATTTTACCTATTTTATGGACAGTCAGTTTATGTGAAAGCCCTCATTTCTCCCCTTTTCTGATATATTTTCCATTTGGCTATTATAACATATACCTTGGCATGAAACAAAATTCCAAATTCATTCACATAATACAATTAATACATTTAAATTATATTTTTCAATGTTAAAAGAAAGGCAAAAAAAAACAGACTTCTCTACCTATTAGGCATTTCTATGGCAATATCTAATAGACCCCTTAACCATGACACTGAAGAACGGAGCTGATTCCAGCCCCTTTCCACCTGCTCAGTCCCACCTTGACCCATCCACTGTGGATGGAGTGGACATCCCTCCCATTGTCCAGGTCCAGATGTTGGAACCATGTTCTTTCTCTCTCTTTCTCTTACACACACACACAGGAAATCCAGCTTGTTAGAAAGTTCTGGCCACTCTGTCTTCATTAACCACCTACTCCCTGTCCCCCTTGGAGCCACCTTCAGTCCCTTCCTTGACACCAAATAGCCTCCTTCTTCCATCTTTGCTTTTCTACTTTTTCTCATCCACACAAAGTCAGAGGGAGCCTTTAAAAGCATACATTGAGGGGGTGGGTGTAGCTCAATGGTAGAGTGCATGTTTAGCATGCATGAGATCCTGGGTTCAATCCCCAGCACATTCATTAAAATAAATAAATTAACCTCCCCCCAAAAAAATCCAAAACAAAAGCATAAA